AGCTCCTCGGGTTCAACCCCTTAGTAAATGCCTCAGCTGCCCATTCATCTAGTACGACCGGTAACAACATTCTTTCTTTCTAGAACCCTCCTTGCGAAATTCTAAATATGTCCGCCTTCCGGGCCTGGACCTTCCTGGCCCCGACATGGGCCTTGATGAAAGAATCTGCGAGCATCTCAAAGGAATTTATTGAGTGTTCGGGTAGGAGTTAATACTATGTCAAAGGCCCCCTTTGTGAGGGTTTCTCCGAATTTTTTCAGTAGGACCGACTCAATCTCATGTTGGGCCAAGTTGTTTCCTTTCACTAACGTTGTATACACTGTGATATGCTCATGAGGGTCTGAAGTCCCATCATACTTTGGTATGTCCGGATTTTGAACCGTTTCGGAATCAATTCTGGTGGTGCGCTCGGTTTGAACGGCAATTGGGTGTACTTTTTCGAGTCCGGGCCCTTCAACACTGGTGGTGTGCCCGGAATTTGGTCCATTCGAGCGTGGAACTCTTTCGCGTTCTAATCCATTTGCTCGTTTATTTTCCTCATAAATCTCATGAGTTTGATTTTGAATGGATTATTTCCGTTGTCGATCCTCTTTGACTCCGTCGAAGCTGACCTCACCCCTCGGAGTGTTGTTATTAACCCCTTGAGTTGTTTGATTTGCGGGAGCGTCAGGAGGAATATGGACTCTTCCATTCGCGTTGTTGGAAGTTCCTGACAATGCCTGCTTTAGTTCTGTCATGACCTCGTCTTGCCTTGGGTCATTAGGAGTTGTCTCTCGCACAAATCGGGGATATTGCCCGCCATGGACCGGAGTTGCTACGTCTCACTCGTTGCGGGTGTCATTGATTGAATCCTCAGGTTGAGGCACATTTTCTTGTACCTCAACGTTGTGTGTGATGTTGACATCATTAGCTTCCCACTTGTTTTTTTTTTCAATTTTTGCTATGAAATAAAGAATCAAATAAGTAGTAATAGACGTAATGATCAACTCAATTACGCAGTTGTCAAAGTCCCACGGTTGGCGCCAATCTGTTTACCCATAAAATGATACAGTTAAATTTGTTGCGTGGTTTATAGACAAGCGAACTAACTTGATACCAAAATGATAAATAAATGAAATGAAAAATAAGACTTAGCATTGAAATCGAAAGAAATAGCAAGCCTGGTTCCGGGATCAAAGCTTCCGAGGACAGCTATAAGAACAATATTAGATAAAAAATAAAATTATATTATTTAGCTTGAGAATAAAATGTAATATAAGTTTTGTCAGAGATTTCCTCCCTTACAATGGTTGTTGAAGCCACTATTTATAACTATACCTAGGGAACAAGATCTTAGGATCAAGCCCCTCTTAAATGACAATAAATGGGGCCATTGATGAATATGTAACGACATGCCATGAATGCCAGAATTTTCTACAACGGCCGTATATTTAATACTGAGTAATATTCTTCATTAAATGTTATCTGGTGACCAGCATCCATTTTCTCCCGTTGGCCGTGTTCCCATCAAGATGTACCCGATACCAACCGAAATTGTTGTCCTCGGTCTTGCTTTCCACTCGATTTATCTTCTGTCTGCCTCCGATTTCACATGTCACGCCATCATTCGAGCATTTAATATAAACTAATTTTACCCTATACAATTATACTAATATAATATTAGTATATTATTATATAATAATATAATAAAATTATTATTTTCTTTTTCATCCATTGAGTTGTAAAATTCTAGAGAAAAGGCCCAAAATAGTCCAGTATCAGTATCTTTGGACTTTAACTCAAATTAGTCATATTTCTTTCACATGGAGTATTAATAGTCCACATTCTTTAATAAAGTGGTACACTTTTAGTCTCCATGTTTGATATGAAAAAAAAATATTTTCTGAAAAATATATTTCACTTTTCTCATTTTGGTTAGTTTACATGTTTTGGAAAAAATTTTCCTCATGAACTCATTTTTCTCAAATTGGAGGGAAATATTTTCCCTGTCGAGAGAAGGAAAAATATTTTCCAAAACTTTTCTTCAACCTTTCACACCCTTTTCTTCAAACTTTTCTTTACTGTTTACATTTTCTAGGCATATACATAGATTATACATAATTATACACATATAATACATAAAATATACATATATTATACCTCCACAGGCTATTTTTAGTTTAAGCAGTTAGGCAGGCGGCTATTTGAGTTAATTCTTCTTCTTTTTATGATGTAGAAAAAGTAGTTTCTTTCATTTCAACAAAATGATGTAGCAAAAAGTATTTTCTTTTCATGATATAGAAAAAGTATTTTCTTTCATTTTAACAAAATGAATACTTTTTTTCATGTTGTAGAAAGAATACTTTCTTTTTCAACCAAAAAAAAAGTATTTTCTTTTTAGTTGTGTAACACAAATTTCAAAGTTGTTTTTGCGAGAAAAGGTAAAGCAACACATTAGTCCTTTTGGTTTTGTGTAAATTTTTAAAAGAATAATTAAATTCTTGAAGAAAATAGAGTTTTAAAAATGTTGGGTAATTGGGGTTGGGGAGAGAGGAGGGGAGAGGGAAGGGGAGCACGAGAAACATGGGGATTTGGGATAAGGGGGAGGGAGGGTAAGAAAAGCAGCATTAAAAATTTTCAAAAAACTATTTTTTACTCTTTAAACAAACACTAGAAAAAAAATTTCGAAAAAAGTTTGTCGCTCACAAACCAAACAAGGAAAAATAAATGATAACCACTCATTTTCTAGGACATGAAGACTAATAGTGTACCACTTTATTAAAGAATGTGGACTATTAGTGCTTCGTGTGAAAGAATTAGGACTAGTTCGAGTTAAAGTCCAAAGATAGTGGACTATTTTGGTTCTTTTCTCTAAACTTCTATATTGCAATAGTGCACTTTGCAAGTTAGCTCACTCCAACAAGTAACAGAGTCAGTCTTCAACTTTCCTCGCTGAAATAAACACCGACAAATTCCCAATTTATCTAACTACTCTCACCTTTCGCGCTGGGAAAACTGAAAACCGGAAATAAAATGTAACATAAGTTTTGTCAGAGATTTCCTCCCTTACAATGGTTGTTGAAGCCACTATTTATAACTATACCTAGGGAATAAGATCTTAGGATCAAGCCCCTCTTAAATGATAATAAATGGGGCCATTGATGAATATGTAACGACATGCCATGAATGCCAGAATTCTCTGCAACGGCCGTATATTTAATACTGAGTAATATTCTTCATTAAATGTTATCTGGTGACACCAGCATCCATTTGCTCCCGTTGGCCGTGTTCCCATCAAGATGTACCCGGTACCAACCGAAATTGTTGTCCTCGGTCTTGCTTTCCACTCGATTTATCTTCTGTCTGCCTCCGATTTCACATGTCACGCCATCATTCGAGCATTTAATATAAACTAATTTTACCCTATACAATTATACTAATATAATATTAGTATATTATTATATAATAATATAATAAAATTATTATTTTCTTTTTCATCCATTGAGTTGTAAAATTCTAGAGAAAAGGCCCAAAATAGTCCAGTATCAGTATCTTTGGACTTTAACTCAAACTAATCATATTTCTTTCACATGGAGTATTAATAGTCCACATTCTTTAATAAAGTGGTACACTTTTAGTCTCCATGTTTGATATGAAAAAAAAATATTTTCTGAAAAATATATTTCACTTTTCTCATTTTGGTTGGCTTACATGTTTTGGAAAATATTTTCCTCATGAACTCATTTTTCTCAAATTGGAGGGAAATATTTTCCCTGTCGAGAGAAGGAAAAATATTTTCCAAAACTTTTCTTCAACCTTTCACACCCTTTTCTTCAAACTTTTCTTTACTGTTTACATTTTCTAGGCATATACATAGATTATACATAATTATACACATATAATACATAAAATATACATATATTATACCTCCACAGGCTATTTTTAGTTTAAGCAGTTAGGCAGGCGGCTATTTGAGTTAATTCTTCTTCTTTTTATGATGTAGAAAAAGTAGTTTATTTCATTTCAACAAAATGATGTAGCAAAAAGTATTTTCTTTTCATGATATAGAAAAAGTATTTTCTTTCATTTTAACAAAATGAATACTTTTTTTCATGTTGTAGAAAGAATACTTTCTTTTTCAACCAAAAAAAAAGTATTTTCTTTTCATGATATAGAAAAAGTATTTTCTTTCATTTTAACAAAATGAATACTTTTTTTCATGTTGTAGAAAGAATACTTTCTTTTTCAACCAAAAAAAAAGTATTTTCTTTTCATGATATAGAAAAAGTATTTTCTTTCATTTTAACAAAATGAATACTTTTTTTCATGTTGTAGAAAGAATACTTTCTTTTTCAACCAAAAAAAAAGTATTTTCTTTTCATGATATAGAAAAAGTATTTTCTTTCATTTTAACAAAATGAATACTTTTTTTCATGTTGTAGAAAGAATACTTTCTTTTTCAACCAAAAAAAAAGTATTTTCTTTTTAGTTGTGTAACATAAATTTCAAAATTGTTTTTGCGAGAAAAGGTAAAGCAACACATTAGTCCTTTTGATTTTGTGTAAATTTTTAAAAGATTAATTAAATTCTTGAAGAAAATAGAGTTTTAAAAATGTTGGGTAATTGGGGTTGGGGAGAGAGGAGGGGAGAGGGAAGGGGAGCACGAGAAACATGGGGATTTGGGATAAGGGGGAGGGAGGGTAAGAAAAGCAGCATTAAAAATTTTCAAAAAACTATTTTTTACTCTTTAAACAAACACTAGAAAAAAAATTTCGAAAAAAGTTTGTCGCTCACAAACCAAACAAGGAAAAATAAATGATAACCACTTATTTTCTAGGACATGAAGACTAATAGTGTACCACTTTATTAAAGAATGTGGACTATTAGTGCTCCGTGTGAAAGAATTAGGACTAGTACGAGTTAAAGTCCAAAGATAGTGGACTATTTTGGTTCTTTTCTCTAAACTTCTATATTGCAATAGTGCACTTTGCAAGTTAGCTCACTCCAACAAGTAACAGAGTCAGTCTTCAACTTTCCTCGCTCAAATAAACACCGACAAATTCCCAATTTATCTAACTACTCTCAACTTTCGCGCTGGGAAAACTGAAAACCGGAAAAGCACATTGCCGATGTCGATCTGCAGCTCATCATCGTCATCCTCTAGCTCCACAAAATCATGGATCCTTCACAGTTTAGCTGTGGGAGCTGCAGTAGCAGTAGCTCTCGGCGCTCGCTCTTACCTCGCCCGATCCAGCAAGTTTCGAAGCCGGGTCATAGGCATCATACCCGCCCGTTTTGCTTCTACTCGATTCCAAGGGAAACCCCTCGTTCAAATTCTCGGCAAGCCCATGATCCAGGTACTCCTATTGCTCCCCATGCTTTTGTTTCCTTACTTGGGAGCTCAACTAGAATGTAAATCGTGTGATCATATTCATAATTAACTTCAGCTCGAGTTATTTATTTAAAAAAAAAAATATTTTCATATTTATACTAAGTCCGAATGCATAAACTATGATCTAAAGAAACTTTTGAACCACCCCCTTTACCGGTGCACTCAAATTTTTCTTCATGTCAACGGGATTCAACAACTTACATGTAATAATAATAAAAATTCATTTTTACCCTATTTGTACGGTGTAGTTTTCCGACAAAGGGGATTCAGTTGAACCCTGTTTACTCTACTTAGTTCCACCTTTGATTGGAGTGGTGAAATGGAGAGTAAAATGAGGCACATATGCAAAATGAGAGATTTGTTCCAATTACGTAGAATGAGATACTTCAACAAGGAAGTAGTGCCCGACCTTTACCTTGTTCTGATTTTAAGGCTCTAGGTCCAGGAGAGGTCAAATCCTTTTGATAAGAGCTTCTCATAATATTTTTAGTTCTTGTGCCCGTCCTGGTTGCAATTCGAGAATTTTAGTACTTTCTGATTCTACAGTGGCATAGCAATAGGGTACCATTAATTGCCACTTATCCACTATCAATGTATCAAAGATAAAACTGAAGCAGTGATTTGTCAAATTGAGAAAAGAATACTGTGCAAACTACTAATGCCAAAGGAAACATAGAATACGAATAAATGTTACAATCGAAACATCAGTTTTCACCTGAATACCTGAAGTGATGTCGGTACTGAGTAATTATAAGTTTGCTTTGAATAATTAAAACTAAGGGATCTGATATTGTCAGGTATGAAGTTTCTAGATCCATTTATTGCTCTTGCAAGGTGCTTTCCTTATGGCAATATTAAGATCCCAAATATCTGCTTCAAACTTTTCAGGAAGTTGCAAATTTTGGGAACTTATATGCCATATGCAAGCGATTTCTCTCTTTTTTCCATGTACCCTTGGGTGAAGCTTTGATTCAGCAGTGTAATTATCACCATTTTTTTCTAAAAGAAACTGACACCTTCCACCATATGCAAAATCTTATTCGCAGAGAACATGGGAAAGGGCAAAGCTTGCTGAGACATTGGATCAAGTTGGTATGTATCCATTTGACCTGGCTTGACTGCCTTTATAACCAAGCCTACTTTTCCCTCCCACATCCACCACGGCCCCTGCTCCCCTAAAAAGGAAAAAAAAAGATTGCGGTGGGTGCAGTTTTGGAAGAGGGTTATTGCATGTGCTTATTTGGTTTGTTGTTTGACAGTTGTGGCAACAGATGATGAAAAGATAGCTGAGTGCTGTCGGAGTTTCGGTGCTGAAGTGATAATGACTGCTGAATCATGTAGAAATGGTAAACAAAATACCATTTATTTTCTACATACTTATTTTGCAACTTCTGGAAATTTCTGTTTTTGAATAGCTGATGCTTGGTTGTTAATTTGTAGGAACTGAGCGTTGTACCGAAGCTCTTGAAAAGCTTGGTAAGAAGTATGACATTGCTGTTAATATACAAGGAGATGAACCTCTTATTGAACCTGAAATAATAGATGGTATTGTCAAAGCCCTGCAGGTAATTTTCCTTTCTTGTTTTTTCCTTAGTGATGATAAGAATTGTTGTTATACTCTGGAATTAGTTTCTTGGAGACTACAGATAGTCGCTTGTTTTTCCCCTGTAAAATGTAAATACACTAGCCAGCTCTCCCCTCTCACTGATTGTTTAATTTATATTCAGTGTCAGTCAAGCGTTCAATACATTTAACCTATTGCTCCATATTTTGATGCACCGAACTTGAGATCACCTTTCTTTCGGAGTACAACACTCCTTGGGCTGTTAAAAGGTCCGCTTTTTCTGTCTCCTTGCTAATAACTGGAAACATGAGTCAGTATTCATTTTCTTCTCTGATTGTTTCTTACTACAAATTTTAGTGCTACATCTTGTTCGGTCTTTGTATTTACTCCAGTAAAATTTCACTTAATTTTTGGGGCAGGGAAGATCCTTATTCGCTTTCTCATATACTAGCTATTATTTGAAAGATATCTAACTACGTAAAATAGCCATTCCTCTTTATGAAGGAAAAAGAGCTCATTCATATTTTATTTCCTCAATCTCCATGTTCAACCAAAATAGATATACCATTCTGGCACACCCAAGTAGTTCTTAGGTGAATATACTATTATGTTGACTTGGAACACCAAAATATATAGCAGGGTTTGTATTAGTTGAACGTGAAGCTACATATTTTTGGGCTCTTATCAGCTATTCTGTCCATCATGTATTATGTGAGTTAGTATGAGTATGGAGATTTAGGAAGGGATGTGTTAAACGGGCCACTAAGTCCAAGTTTTAATGAGGTATGTGTGGAGTTTTTGAGATTGACTGAGGAAAATTGTAATTTCTGAGTACGACATCAAATTTAGGACAATATAGTCCAAAGTAAAGATATTTTCTAGTTAGTATAATTTCTTTGGGTTGGCATTCTTTACCATTTATGTAGAAATGACAATTCTCTAGGGACTGTTCAATTAGGATGTAGATCTGTAAAAGGAACTGGGAAGTAGGGAGCAGCATGGACGTTTAACCCCGAGATGTAAATCCGAATTGGCTAAAGAACTTAGACAATAACGAGCATAAACTCTTAGTCACCAAAAAGTTGCCTCTTTGCCGGTTTGTGGCTGTTTCCCATAGATATATTTTTAATTAGCATATTATCTATGATGGGTCCATCCCATGTGTAAGGAAGACATTTTCCTTTTGGCTTTGAATTGTCAAGCCAACTAAAGGAATAGTAAGGAAGATTTTATGGCAAATATTTCTTTGGTTTCACATTGAATATTTGACTCTTGCCAAACTCATGATATCATTGATGACGTCAATGAAGCAATCCTAAACACTATAAATAGGTGTCTTGCTCTCATTGTAATACACACCAACAAAGAGAGAAAGAAAGAGTGAGGTTTCACAGACAAGGTATAAGAAAATAGTCTGTGAGAAAAATAGAGAGTGAGCGATATTGTAGTAAGGTGAGAATATCAAAAGAGAGTTATTTATTTTGAGTGTTGTAGTGGTCTTTGGAGTATTTTACTCGAACCTACAAAGTGTAAAATTCCTTGCTATAGTGATATCAGTTGCTTCTCTTAGGGCCGTGGTTTTTCCCTTATTCAAAAGGATTTTTCACGTAAAAATTTTGGTGTCGTTGTCACTCTTTTATTCTTGTTAATTACCGTATCTCGGTGTTACGTTATTATTCCGCTTTTATTACTGTGAATAATATTTCTGTAGGGGGTTTATTCCCAACAACTGGTATCAGAGCATAAGTTCTGCTCGTTCACAAGAATACTATTCACTGTCGGTAGTACTATACTCGGTGAAAAACAAAAATGTCCGGAGTAAAGTACGAGATAGCAAAATTTAACGGAGATAGCAGTTTCTCAACATGGCAAAGAAGGATGAGAGATCTGCTCATCCAACATAGATTACACAAGGTACTAGATGTTGATGCTAAAATGCCTGATACCATGAAAGGTGAGGATTGGGCTGATTTGGATGAAAGGGCTGCTAGTGCAATCAAGTTGCATTTATCAGATGATGTGGTAAATAACATCATTGATGAATACACTGCACATGGCATTTGGGCAAGGTTGGAAAGCCTATACATATCCAAAATGCTAACAAATAAATTGTACCTGAAGAAGCAACTATACGCCCTACACATGGGTGAAGGTACGAATTTTTTGTCACATTTAAATGTGTTTAACGGACTAATCACACAGCTCGCCAATCTCGGAGTGAAAATCGAGGAAAAAGATAAAGCCATCTTGTTGTTGAACTCGTTGCCATCTTCGTACGATAATCTGACAACAATCACCCTGCACGATAAGACTACCATTGAGTTGAAAGATGTCACATCGGCTCTTTTACTCAATGAGAAGATGAGAAAGAAGCCTGAAAATCAAGGACATGCTCTCATCACAGAAGATAGAGGCAGGAATTATCAAAGGAGTTCGAGCAACTATGGTAGATCCGGAGCTCGTGGGAAATCTAAGAACTGATCCAAATCAAGAGCTAGAAATTGCTACAATTGTGATCAACCAGGTCACTTCAAAAGAGATTGCCCAAATCCAAGAAAGGGCAAAGGTGAAACTAGTGGCCAGAAGAATGACGACAACACAGCCGCCATGGTGCAAAACAATAATAATGTTGTCTTTTGTATAAATGAGGAAGAGGAATGCATGCACTTATCAGGTCCAGAGTCGGAATGGGTGATTGATACAACATCTTACCATGCCACACCGGTAAGAGATCTTTTTTGCAGATATGTAGCAGGTGATTTCGGCCTTGTGAGAATGGGTAACACAAGTTACCCAAAGATTGCGGGGATTGGTGACATTTGTATCAAGACAAATGTCGGATGCATATTGGTTCTGAAGGACGTGCGACATGTACCTGATTTGCGGATGAACTTGATCTCTGGAATTGCTTTAGACCGAGATGGATACGAGAACTATTTTGCAAATAAAAAATGGAGACTCACCAAGGGATCATTGGTGATTGTAAAGGGAGTTGCTCGTGGCACATTGTACAGGACAAATGCAGAAATATGCCAAGGTGAATTGAACGCGTTCTGCATATTTGTGGCACAAAAGGATGGGTCATATGAGCGAGAAGGGATTGCAGATTCTTGCCAAGAAAT